TTTATTTTTATTTTTATTCTGCCTTTTCTATTTATCTTCTTGTGCTACAATTTCTTGAAACTGGCAACCTTCTTCAGAAATTATGTCAAGGTTCCTGTATGCTTCTATCTCTGATTACAAGTATTTTTTATTGGTTCTGTGCAGATTGATGGCTGTAGCATAGATTATGATAGCTACCTGGATGCAAAGGTTTGCCTTGTTTTTATTTATTTATTTTCCCCCTTTAAGTCCATGTTCATTGCAAGCGCTGTGTACAATTTTATCTAATACAATACTAAAATATAATTAAGATATCATATTCCACCCCACATCTCGGAGTTTTAAGGTAGGAGGCTGGAGGTGCACTATTGTGCCTGACGGCCCTGATCAGAATTTTCTCTGATATTTTCATTTAGGAATGACATGTCATCCCACCATTTCCACAAATGTTGTGTTCATATATGAAAACAGGCCACTGCAACTTATGGGCGTTATTGCATAAAATAGCTACGTCAAATGATACAAAGACGTTATTTTTATACTATTGGTTTATCCGTTGGATTTACTATGTCGTAAAATGGACCCCATACCCCTTTGCTACCGGCGAAAGAGTGGCTAAAAATAATGGTAAGTCTGATATAAATTCTGATGATCTGAACTTTGTTACAAATGGCAACCGGGCTTAGTGCATTTAACTTAGGCAATGTGTTTCTTGATGGAGTGTCCAAGTGTTTTCCTTTGTGAGAATCTATGTTATAAAAATTGGATAGATCATAAATAAAATATTGTAACAAGCTACCTAATAAAGTATAAAATGTTGGCGTTGACTTTTCGTTTTTTGCTTTTTGTTTTTTTTCCTCTATTTCACCCAAAATTCAGTCTTCTCCTTCTTCAAAGCCCTCATGTTCATCTTACTTAATCTGTTGTGGAAGAAGATCAAACCATAAAAATACGCTTGCCCAATACTTCACCGTAAAAGGAGACTGAAAATGGATTTATATGAGGATGAGATATTTGACCGTAGGGGGTGGAGAAGGGAGGTTTTTGTGGATGACTATATGGAATAATCACTTTTGGTTCATGTAGCCGATCCCACTTATGGGATTAAGGCTTTGATTGATAGATTGATTTTTTATGTCCTCTTTCATGTTGCCTCAAGTCCCACAACATGTTTTTTGTTTTATCGAGTCATCGTCTTGGGTTTTATATTTGTGATTGGGTCACAGTAGTTCATGTGGCTCAAGTCCCACAACATTTTTTTTTGTTTTTTGTTTTATCCAGTTATCTGCTAGGGTTGTGTATTAGTGATTAAGTTTTAGACCCACAGTAGTTACTTGGACCTGGCAGATTATTCTAGAGCTTAGTAGTATAACTCTCTTTGTTTAAATTATAGAATAATCTTAATTTATACCATGTCCAAGTTTAGGACAGTGTTCCTGTGTCCTAAATTTTCATATCAAACTCATATTTGTACTCGTATGCGAAGCAGTTCAAGTATCATTGCATAGTCTAAATAGGTTTGAGCTATGAAAAGCATACTTCTAATGAACAGGATAATTCTTAATAATTAATTTCTTTCTTATCTTCCTGTTGCAGGGTGATGCTGATATCTTTTTCCCAACAGACTTCTGGCTTTTGGAACGCTTTGATCATTATTGCTCTGGTTGGCTGGAAACAAGCCAAAAAAATCCATTGAAAGAAAAGAAGAGGAGGCGGACGATTACAGTAAGTAGCATGTCTGACTTTATAGTTCTTTTAATTAATTAAATACTATGTGGGTTGGCAAAGTACTGTTAGCTTACCTTAATGTCTATGCAGAGTGAGTGATTCATGTGGATAACATGTAGCTATGAAGTTATGGAAAATTCATGTTTAATCAATCTTAAAAACTGAAAATGCTTTTGATATCGTTTGCCATCTCATTCTCTTCCCATAATAAATTTAGCTTAAGAGAATTTCAAGGTTATCATTTAGGTTTTAATAGGTTAAAATAATTTCAAGTGTCTAATTCCACAATTTGATTTCATATTGGATGTGGGCCATCAGAATTTTATTCCCTTCTACTAGCATGACCTAGCAGCTTAACCTATGGAATTGGATTGACTGATTATGGTCCAACAACTTGTGCTTGTCATCATGACTGTGTGTAACATTGATTTTAGCTTCCTGATGTGGCATTAACTTTTGAGCTTTTATCCTTGCCGAAGGTAGTTTTTTTTTTTCCCGAGGGAAGTAGTGATTTTCTCTTTTTCATTTTGTTCTTAAGAAGGTAATTTAATACCTTTTCCATTCCAGATTACTTGACACTACGGGTGAGCAAAAATACGAGGAATTGGAACTGGAACCAATTAGGAACCGGTGGATTCGGAACCAGAATTGGACCAGGTGGTTCTAATTCTGGGTAATAAATTAAGGAACCGGTTGCAACCGGTTCCAATTCCAATGCTCGATTTTTTGGATCCGGAACCGATTGGGTACCCGGTTACCCAACATATGTTACACTAAATAAGTTTTTAAAAATAAAATTATGTTAAATGTATCTAGTTAGTAAAATTAAAAAAAAATATTATTAATACCTAACATTAATAAAATAGATTAATGCATATATAAATACAAGTGTTAAACGCTAAAAATAAAAATAGACTAAAATAATTATTATAATTTATATTATATTTTAACAATTATATACATAAGTGGGTACCCGAAACCGGAACCGGTATCCGGTAGTTCCAATTCCAAATCCTAAATTTTAGATCCCGGTTGAAACCAATTCCAATTCCAATTCCAGTTCCGAATTTTAGGATTCGGTTCCAATCAATTTCGGGTTCGGGTACCCGGTTGGCTCACCCCTACTTGACACGTTTCTTTTTAGCACACATATTAAGGTGAAGTGAGAGAAGAAAAAGACAAAATTATCCTTACCCTACCATTATCCACCTTTTCTTACCTTGGCCTTTTTCCTTGGCAAGTTGACTGAACAACCAGCTGCCACCACTCCCACCTTTGTCACCACCTTTTTCCTCACCATAAAACCTTCTCCCCTCTCCTTTTCCAGACCTACAGTCCAACCACTCCCTTCCTTGGTTGTTTAGGGTTGTGGTTTCTACTTTCTAAAGAAGCCGAAGGAGAGAGAGATTGCAGGAAGAGGGCGGCGACTCAAGTTAGGGTTCCAGAGTGGATATGGATCATGGCCCACAAAACATTGTTGCCATTGATCATTTTGTGCTTCTTACGTTGACACTCGTTAGAAGCTTCGTTGGCAAGGAAGCTGATGAACGCCAACATGCTAGCCTGCATGATTTCCATGAGTCTTTCGAGATTTTAGCCATCCATTGGAGAAGGCTGCTTGTTAAAGAAAGGGTAAGGGGGTTAACTGCAATTCTGCAAGAGATTTGTTGGAGTGGTGTCATTTGTCAAATATATCTAGTGGTGGAGTGGGGAAGGTGATGATGATGGAATGAGAGATTAGAGGATTTGTTATGATGAAAGGAGGAGAGAGAAGAGGACTAAGAGAAATTAGTGACGGTAAAATTTACATTGTAACATATAAAATTTACCCAATATGGAAATGTTTCAACTGACAAGAAACTGTCCAAAGAAGAATACCTGTCAGGGCTATCACCTAATTTGGAACGGAGGAAGTATGTCATCATTCTCCTTAATCATATCTTGATTGACTCATTATGGCATTGATTTTCTGTGTTTTCATTTAATAATAGCTTCATCAGTTTCAATTGGCCTTTTGTAACCTCCTCAGTTTTTGTTTGCAGCTTGATACATCTGCTTTCATGGAACAATTCGGGCTGCCGTCAAAAACAAGAACCAAAGATGGTTACAATCCGCTGTTAGATGACTTCAAGAATACCAAGTTCTATCTCAGTGTGCCGACTTATAATATCAAATAGGTGATGGAGAACTTCCCTTTGGCTAGAAATTCAGACACCCTAGACAAAACACTTGCCTTGTAAGATGCCCCAGGTTTTTACTTGTAAATTTCCATACCTAGCGGTAGGTAAGAGATTAGAAAAACCTATCCAAAATGGCATAGTGATTTAAGCGACATTCCTTTTGATTAATAATTAATTGTATTGGCGAACACTTTTATTGTTTAGCCAATGTAAAGATGGTGAGCATTGGCTCAAGTCCAAAAAATAATAAAAATAAGGAGAGATCTTACACAAGTTAAGTGAAGTCACCATAAAATCACATGGTAATGGAAATAATCCAATAAACTTGTTCGTTTGTCATTTGTTATTTTCCACTATTTGAATGTGGTAACATCAAGTACTTTTTAGCTTTTACATAATATTCGTGGTGCAAATGTATACTACACTTGAATTATTGTGATGATTGTGTGATGCAAAGGTTGGGTGTTACACCCTAATACCGACGGGATGTTAAATTTCAATCATGTAATCTGACAAGTCAACGCTCTCCTTTGGGCTTTGGCCATGCATGTCGTCATATGTATATATGGGGCCCGTTGACTTTCGAACTAAACTCTAGCTTATACGATTGATCTGATCTCAACTCTTGCTTTCAATATTTGACGTTTTATTTGCAGCCCTACATGATTTGTCTCTATCTCAATTCTTAATGCATTATTATTTGGTCATACTCATAATATATCCTCCCTTCTCTTTCTTGTATAATCGTATTCGTAATTAATAGCTGCCCATTTCAATTTTGTCCAATACATGATGGATGGGCTGTGTTTATGAGGATTTGACATTTCTTTTTGGATTTGCTCCAAATCCAATTTTTTTTTGAGTCACACATTGTCAATGGCTCTACTCGCTAGCTATGTGCTTAGTTGCTTACTTTAAAAACATCAAAATAACAATAATACCGAAATACTGTAGCATATAATACGACTTTGTAATAAGAGTCCTATTATACACATTTTTTAGAGTGACCTTACTAATTGTACATGTCTGTAACTTTTTTTTTTCAAGGTATTATAAAATTTTAAATCAACGTACAACATAATAAGTTAACAACTTTCTATCTGAGGAAATAACCTTAAATGATATTGGTATTGGCATGAATAAAAGTAAATATTTGCTGGACAGAAGTAGCAATATCCTCTGCAGTAAACCGTGCTTCATTAGCAACCTATAAAAATCGGTATTAAGTATTATTATTTTGCTGGATCACATGAAATAAAAGTCTACAATGGAGTATCTGAATCAGCCAATTATTAATGTAGAATGGATCGAGCGAGTAAGCCAAACAATGTACCTTAACATTGAAAGAATAAAGAACAGTCTGCTCAATGGTGGTGATGTTGGTGTGGAGAATAGTGAAGTGCAGATCCTCAAGGGCAGCAATGGCCTTGATGAGTTGGCCATGGCGTCTGCGAGAGAGTATCTTAATTAAAGCATCAAAACCTAACACCTTCACTTCTACGTCTGCAAAGCAAGTCTTGCTCTCAGCAGTCTCTTCGCGGAGCAATCCTCCCGTAGCTGCAGGCATAGGGTAGGCGTAGGCATAGCCATAGGGTCCAACTGATGATCCAAAAGCCTGAGTTGATCATCATCCTGATGATGGTACTGACTACCCATTGGTGGAGGAAAACCCAGAGGTGGTTGTACTTGTGGCGTTTGCTGAACTAGTCCTAGTGCTGTTGATGATGATGAGGTAGAAGAGTCTCCCATGGGCCGCGGTTGATCTCCATACAGTCTTCTCCTCTTCTGGGACTCCAGACACTGTAGTAGTTGCTCCAGTTCTCTCACAAACTCTATTGCTCCTCCTATTATTGATGCTTGGTCTCCCTACATTACCATCTTCATAAGATTTTACTCAAGTACTAATTTACATGCATGCTACAATGTAAAATTTTAATAAAGCCAAATTTGAATGGTTGATGATAGCTTCATAAATTTTTTAAAGATGAAAGGCAGTTAAGCAGCTATAGTTACATACCCTTTGGACATAGGAGCTCGGCATAAGAGACCTCAAAACGCGAAGGTGCTCGTTCATTTGCTTTCTCCGGTTTCTTTCCACGGCAATATGAGTCATCCTTTGACTTTCCACTTCCTCATTTGTCTTGATACTACGAGGCCTTTTTCTCTTGCTGCTGCTGCTGCTGCTTTTATTAATATGCCCCATTGTTCCTCCTGCTGCTGCTCCTTCCATAAGATTATTATCATCATTAGTAGCATTACCGAGAAACTCAAGCTGCACTGGGTTACTGAGATTGTTAGCAGATGTTGACAAAACACCAGCAGTAGCAGCAGCTGCAGCAGCATCTTCTTGTTGATGGTCATAGCCATATTCTCTGTCTCTAAAATCCTCTAAAGGATCACCAAAACCTCCATCTCTATCATTAATACTGTTATTGGTTGGAGTATTGCTATCATCGTGAATACTGCTTGTATTACCATGACCTGGCACCATATGTGAGTTACTAAGTACAGGAAACTTGAGGAAATAAACAGGGTCTATCGCAGTGATGGTGTGGTCGTCCTCTTGATCCGCGTTGCTATTCTCCTGATGCTGGAGTCGCTGAGGATGGTTAAGTGCCAACTTTGGTCCAAAATCTGCAAACTGCATAACATCTGCAAAGCTCAGTGTCCTATCCATGTTAATGGGGATACCTCCACTAACACAGTTGATGCTGCTGTTGGGCTGATCCAGCAGAAGTGGTTGTTGATGTTGATGCTGCTGCTGCCGCTGTCGTTTCTGCTGTTGTTCCGAATGATAAGCTATTCTTGATGGAATCCCATTGTTAATAAGGTCGGGAGGAGGATTGCTTAGCATGTAATCCACCATAACTGATCCGCTCCCGAGAATTATGGTATTATCATGGTTGTGAGCTTCAGGTTGATGATAAGGCAGCAATGACCCACTATGATTATTACTTGTAGGATTAGGAGGATCAGAAGAGTCGTCTACATTGGCAGAAAATCTCCCTCCTGCTTCAGTGGCCGCCTGCACAAGTAGTGGAGACGTAGAGTACCCCATAAATTTCATGATAAAAAGGGTAGCTACTAGCTAGAGTAGAGAGGTAAAAAAGGGTTTTGTCAACAAATATATACAAAACAAGTTATATGTAAATTTTGAATAAACTATGAATGATCGTACCTCGTAGTTGATCTCTTCTCTCTGCATCAGACTTTATACACGTCGTAAGTAGGACCTAGCAGTTAAAATTTGTTGAGTACGTAGGACAAGATGATGTAGCATTAAACAGGGAAAGTGGCCTTAGTTGAACTCTTATCACAAGAGGACAATATATGTTTGTATATGAAAGTGTATTCATAGGTGGTGTGTACCGTGGACTTCCTGCGCGGTTGTGGGAAACTACCAAATGTTAGCAGTGACTACTAATCTTACAAGGGGTATGAGAGTGATATTCATGGTTTTGCCATATATTAGCAATAAGTTAGTAACTCGCGTACGTGCAATATTGGATGTAAATAGTGGTGAAGAAATGACATACAAGCTAAGTTATAAGGAGGAGGATTTCTGTCGACTCTAGAGCCGTATGTCTCGTTAAATTTATGAATGAAAACAATTTAGTATTGTAGATGAATACATACATGTACATATGGAGAGAGATATATATATAGCCACATGCAAAAACAAGTCAAGAAAGAAAAGAGGGGTGGGGGGTTTGATTTAATCAGGAGCCTTTGCAGAGTAAATATCCAGCAGTAGCAACACCAACAGCACCACCATCAAATAAATATGGGATTGGATGACTTGATTTGGCTTTTCATGATTCTAATTAATGTGATTCACAGGCCAACCAACGCTCTTTTTTTTTTTTTTTTTTGGCTTTCTCATGATTCTAATTAATCTTCTTCCTTTCAACTCCATCACTCGTAATATCAAAACTTAGCTTTTTAAATTTCAAAACCTCCTTTTTTGAATTCTCCATCCATCCTAAATCATGATTTCCGTGATATATCTTATATATTCAATACTTTTTGACATCCAATCAATTTTCTAAACCTCTTCAATTCGCTATAATATTTGTATAAAGACCTTTTGGCAAATGCATGAAAATGCTTGTCGAGCCCAACGGCCCAACCTATACCTAGTCTATTAACAACTCAAACCAATAGCGTTACATGTCATACTTTCCTTGAATTTTTTTCTTTCTAATTTACAGTATAGCCAAAGAGCTATTTTTTTTTTATCTTTTTATTTTTATTTTGTCTGTGTGTGTAAAAAGAGTCTAACAAATGATGTAGATGGATTTTGATTATAGGTCATGAATACCATCCTTCAAGACTTAACCAATTAAACTAATTAAACATCCACACCAACAGGCTAGTTGATTGTTAATTTTCATTACTATATTACACGGAGTAAGGAAAATTAGATAGGATGGTTAAAACATAATGTACAATGACAAGGATCTTAATTACTCCCTTTGATTTGTTTTGTTCTTCTCATAGGAGTAACGTGCCATGCACGGTTTTTTATACATAAATCTCATGGAAAAGATTATTTTCTTAATAACCCTATAATTTTTTTATTATTTGCTTGTTAGAAAACGGATAATTTGTTTTATTTTTATGCAACTTATAATGCGATCTTAATTTACTAATATTAGTTATATGAAAATTATAAGTATGATAGATATTAGAATAAAATCATAATCCTGTTTGTATTTTTTTTACCTATGATTCGTTTGTATAACGAAAACACGTTGTTCCACTATAAATATATAGTTATAGAATCACTATTTTTCTTTCACAAACAATAACTTAGACCACCATTATTCTTTTACTCCGTATCAACTTTATACAATGAAAAATTAATAAAGTAAACCCAAAACTATAGGGTTAAAATAAAGACGGTGGGAGTAATAGTAAAAGATATGACTTTATAAGTTTTTAAATAGTTAAATGAAATATATGTATACTACCAAGAGTGTTGCATTACTAAAATTAATCTAATTGAATAAAATTAAATCTTTATAATGAAATTTCATTATCATATGTCTTAATAATAGAGTTATATGTATACACTACTACAGTGATTTTTACAATAATTATATAGATATTCTACCAAAAACTATAATACACAAAAAATCAAAATTATCAGAGACATCTCTTACAATCTTTAATTTTTTTCCCTACTATTGTAACATTATAGTTAACTTAGGGCCTGTTCTGATTTACTGAACTGAGTTGAAGTGAACTGAACTGAACTGATTGAAGCTCTGAATATTATAGTTGGATTAACGTTATAGGGTATTGTTGAATAAACATCTAAGTTGGAGGGTACATCTTGTAATTTTGAAAAAGCATGGGCACACCTTAAAAACTCAATAACCACGGGGGCATAGCTTAAAAAAACCCTAAAAAAATTAAAATCATCGGAAAATCCAATTATCTGAAAATTGTTTAAATAGTTGTATAAAATAAGGTTATAAAATTTGGCACATTCACCAAATTAATAAAGGAAATGGGTTGAAATTTTTTACCAAGCATAGAAATATTCTATGGAGTAAAGGGGAAAAACTTTTTGAAACTTCCAAATCAAAAAACAGGAAGAACAAAAAGATCAGAGGGAATAACATACATTTAAGGGAAAAAAAATGTTCCTAATTAATTACAATCGAACACAAGTTAAATATTTTTTGTATCATTTTTTACAAGTCATTTGAATATATTTTGTATCATGAGAAATGAGTGGTATTATAACACTTTGAATAAGTCCTAAACCAAAATAAAATTGACCTAAATAAGTTCCCTTGATTGTGTCTTTCAGAAAAAAAAACAAGACGTTGTGCAAGGACAAAAAGGGAGAGAACTAAGAGAAGGGATCGATATTTTTACCCTACTCAGTAAACATCATCCCTTTAAAATTGGACGGTAAATACAGCTCCACCATCTGTTTTTATCCCCTCCTTGCCCTCTCCTGTCGATCCTCCTTTGCTTAGAGACACATGTTGTGAAGATGTAGGTAACTGAATAGAAATGTACAGGAATAGATGGTTAATTGTGTCACAGTCAATCTCCAATTCAGACTTTTGTTAATGCTCTGCAGTTGATTCATTAAAATATTTGGCAATCTCCAAATCTTACTAATCTTAATATAAAGGAAACTTTTGCAAAAATTCACCTTATAAAAACATTTTTTTTTTAAAAAAACCTCCTTATAAATTTTTTTTTTTGCGAAGAAATACCTTATTCAATTTCTTTTTTTACAAAGTCATACCTTATTCAAATGAGTTTTGACCCTATTTTTTAGCGTTGACCACCCCAACCCCACCCACAAAATGCCCCCCTCCCTAGCCCCACCCACAAAATCAACCCCTCCTTAGCCCCTCCCACAAAATCAACCCCACCCACAAAATGCCCCCCTCCCTAGCCCCACCCACAAAATCAACCCTATTCATGGGTAATCGGGGTGGGGAAAGGGAGGGGTGAGGTCTCGGGGTAAGAATTAGGATGCCGGCGCCGACAGTGGAAGGGAGAGGGGTGGCTGGGCTGTAGATGAGGGTTTAGGGTGGTCAACGCCATGAAAGGGGTGGGCTTAGGATAGTTAACGCCGTGAAAGGGTGGTTTTGTGGGTAGGGCTGTGGAGGGTGGCGATTTCATGGGTGGATTGGGGTAGTCAACGCTGGAAAATAGGATCAAACCCCATTTAAATATTGTGTGACTTCACACAAAAAAAATACTAATAAGGAGGTTTTTTTTAAGAAAAAAAAAACAGATTTATAAGGAGGTTTTTACATAATTTCCTAAAATAAATAGTGTGTTTGTATGATACTATGAAACTCCTATTACTCCTGTTGATTATTATACTTCCTCCGTCGCACAATATAGTTCCGCTTTTCTTTTTTGGAGACCCAAAATGTTGTTTCTGTTTCTATTTTTGGATAGTATGTAAAGACCATTATACTCTCATTTTTTTAACTTTATTCATTGAACTTCCTAATTTTCTCCTAACTTATCCACTTGCATTATATTTTTTTCCACTTCTCTCTCTAACTTTTTGTCCATAATAATTGTACTTTTCACTTTTTTCCCCCTGAAATTATCCACTTGCCTTGTAATTTTGTCTAACTTTTGTCTAGTTTTTTTTCCACATTTAATGTACTTCTTCCACTTCTCTTACCATTTTTTATATATCGTGAAAAAAACATAATAGGAACTATATTATGGGAAGGGGGGATTACCAAAAATGTATTAAGTTTGATACTACACCTCCCATCGAAAAAAATAAAATAAAATGAAATAAAAATTTGATACTACACCTAGCTCAAGTACCTTATTCTAACACAACAGCAAAATAATGTTGCCAAGGAAAAACATCACTACAATGAGATCTGCAGAGGACTTTATACGAAAGAATAAGTTGCGACCAAATCAAAATGATGTGCAATCATACACCGATTGATTAAATCATATAAACATGACATCCATGAAGTTTCAGATTTCTAAAACATGGCATGTGAAATACCAGAATCAGAAAGTACAAATATAGAAAACAAATCATGCACTCATACCAGATATTTAAAGCTGGGCAACCCCAAAGAGTGGCATTTTAATAGGAAAAGAGTTGCACAAAGTGCCTGGGAGGAGGGCTTATGTAAGAGTATTTTGCAGGGGCTCTGTTGCCCCTATCACGGGCATCTTGAATGCAGTTGAGGAATAAACTAGGGAAAAGGACATTTTTCCAGTAAACCATAGAAAATCCTCACTCAGTTCACATCTTTTGACAGTATTGTAAGCACAAAAGCAATATCGACAGTGGGAAAACACTGCCACTACCAAAGCAACTCAGTTCGTGAACTTCTGCACCAAACTCAGGGCACAATATACATTGTCATTCATCGTCAGAATAACAAGGTACAATACCACATGAACCATGTCACACTTGAACATAGAAATTATGATGTGTACTCAAAAGGCTGTGGGGGTTGAGGTTCCTCATCAACAGCCATGGCAGCCACAGTTCCCTGTTGCACTGGTGCAGTGGACCCAGCAGCAGCATTCGTTGCTGCAGAAGCAGGTGCATCTGTAAGAGACAATACCTCTGGCTCCTCAGGACGCAAATCTTTCAGAAGGACAAAACCAGAGGCAGCCAAGTTCACAGGCATATATCTGCTTCCCTCCAAAAACTTGATGAATTTCTCTTGAGCAGGAACTACCCTAGCAGGATTAGTTAAGGTTTCAAAAGAAGTTTCTGGCTCAACCTTTTTGTCCGGCAGAATATCAACCTGCCAATTGCAAGGAAATAAACCACGTCAGATGATCCAGTAACCTGGAAATATAAACACTAATGAAGTGTGGAGCATGAATGACATACCAGCATAGAGTCTCCCTCCTCTGTAGACGACTTTCCTTTTCCAGTGGCAGATGTAGAAGCTGAGGGCTCTGAACCAACAGACTTCTCTTTCAGCTCTGTCTCCTTTTTCGCTCTAGCTTTGGCCTTTGCTGACGTTGATAATACAGCAGTGGGAAGTTTCACTGCCGATGTAGTGGTGGGTTCAGATGTTGGCTTTGGATACCCAAACAAGGAGGGTTTTGCGTGAGACAAAAACTCAAACTTTGGAACTTTCAAGTCATAGTTCAACCCAACAAAAGCTGTAGGGGAGAATGACAAGCTTATGAAATATATGAGAGGATACCAGTACCAAAACTGGCTAAAAACAGTCAGACCAACCACCGCAGTAATTTTATCATGTTTTGACTTAGACAGCAGCCTAATTGTCACATTCCTTCCACCCGCATCAAGAATCCCAGATGCCAAAATAGCTCCCATCTTGCTCATGGTATCTTCATGCTTGTCAAGAATTATCTTCTCCAATTGTCGCCTACAAAAATACTATATGATAACGGACATGAAACTATGAGAAAAGGACAAAAAAGGATCTGATAGATACAATTATTACCTAAATGTTCCAACACGGGAATCCATAGCCTCAGTAATCTGAACCATAACCATGGCCATAGCAATCAGGGCACCTTGCCGGACAAAATCAACGACATCTGATGTCAAGGGCTCTAATAAAGATATGGCCTCGCTAAGACCAGTGCCGGCACAAGAAATGCCAACTGCCAAGGCTGCACCGTATCGAACATGTGGATTATAGGACTCAGACAGCAGAGACACAATACGCGGTGTCTGTCAAGATAAAACCACTCAAGTGTAAATTTTAACAGAAAACAACAGCTACCAGTACAGACCATAAATCATCAAATTGCTTAAAACTGCAGGTTTATATTATACTACACTTCAATCCCCAAGATATTCAAGACTACCTATTCATTAATATGAACCATCAAAAATATTGTAGCAAAAAAAAAAAAATTTTACACTAGGTCAAGCATGTACAGCATTTGATTATTAAGGATTTAGAATAGGTAAAAAAGAACAGAAATTTAGATTTATTAAAAATAAAAAAAAGGGTAAAGCAGACTATAAGATTAAGGTGTGGAGACAAAGTAGCATAATCTTGAAAAAACTTAAAAGTCCCTTGAGTAGGGTTAGAAAAGTTTTTCTCTGCTAGGGTTCCGTGTATCTTTTCCCAATTTTTTGATTGCAATTCTCTAGTTAATTCATCACAAATTAATTAACAATTCTACAATTAAGTGCCCGGTGTGAGATGAATGATCAACTGGTGAAAGCGTGGGAAAATTTGAAACTGACTGATGAGGAAAACTTTGTGCTTGGTGGATCGAGTGCAATGGAGGATGAGGAGGAACCAAACCAAAGAATTGCTTTGTCTTTTGGTGGGGAAACTTCTCACCAAGAAAGCTTTCAATGTGGAGGCTATGAAGTGAGTACTGAAAAACCTATGGCGTATTGACGACAAAGTCGCAATTCGTTCTGTTGACACAAACTTATTTGTGTTTCAAATTTTCAATGCTGAGGATAGGAAGAAGGTAATGGATGAGAGGCCTTGGGGTTTCGATGATTAAACCCACGAACAACCTTCGGACATATCTTTTGACTGTTGCCCTTTCTAGATTAGGATTCTTAATGTTCCATTTGGTAGACGCTCCACTGATTTGCAAGGGAGGTGGGTGATTGTATTGGTGAATGCCTGGAAGTGGATGAATCGGACCCTCTTGGTTGGGAGGAGTATATGAGGGTTAAAGTAATGGTGAACATCAATAAAGCCCTCCGTAGGGGTATGAAGATTGTTGTAGATTCGGGACACACCAAGTGGGTTGGCTTTAAGCATGAACGACTTGGTGACTTTTGCTATTATTGTGGTCGAATTGGACGCAACAATAAAGATTGTGAGGAGAAGGATAATTGTGATGTTGAATCGCCCATTGTGTTTCAATATGGTCCATTTTTGTCTGCTTCCCCTCATTGCTCGAAAGTGCCGGCTATTGAGCGAGAGAAGGAGAAAAAATGGGTGGAGAGCTTGTCAAAAAGAGGGAGAGCGCAAAGATCAGATTACAATGAATCAATGACCCTTCTACAATTCGGCTTGGGCTTCTTGGAGCTGCGAGAAAACTCCTATTCCCATCACCAAGTGTAGACACTGCTATTACGCCAAATCCTCGTGCTATTTCTTTGATGGGTTTTGCTGATGAGGGTGGTGATAAAATGGTCTTGCGGCCTCTTGCGGTGCAGGGGGTGAGAACAACAACTCTGATGTTACAGTTCTGTTCTTGGTGCTGTTAGGGAGTGTTAGAATATTGAAAAGGGAGATGATTCTAAGGAGACTGTGGCTAATGTTTTATCCGGTCCCAAAGAGTTCGAAAGATTGTGCGAAGGGACAATGTTGCTGATATGGATATGATCGAAGGTGGAGAGGGTCTTGGGTTAGCCAGGATGAGGAATGTCGAGGTTGTGCTTGATGACTTTCAAAGTGTTCTTGCCAACTATTCTGAGAAGCCGAAAATATGTGTGAATAGTGATTCTTCTATTGTTCCTGCTTCTAAAGTAGAGGGTCTTGGGGATGCCCAAGCCCTCGAAAAGCAATGAAGATTTTAAGCTGGAATTGTCACGGGATTGGCAACCCGTGGACATTTAAGGCCCTCCATGGAAGGATAGGCCAAATATTGTGTTTATTATGGAAACGATGATTGATGATAAACGTTTGAATAAAGTTAAAAATAAATATGGCTATATTGATGGTGTTTGTATTAGTAGTATTGGGAAATCAGGGGAAATGGGTATGTGGTGGAAGGATGTGAAGGTGAATGTTGTCTCTTTTTCTGTGCATCATTTTGCTATTGATGTCCTTGATAGTAATATTTGTGCAACTTGGAGGGCTACTGGTATCTATGGTTGCCGGAGCAAACAAATAAACATTTGACTTGGTCCCTTATGTCTTCTCTTAAACCTGATTGTAACTTGTCTTGCATCATGTTTGGTGACTTCAATGAAATTATGAGTTTAAATGAGAAAGAAGGAGAGGTTTCGAGAAGTGATAGACTTATGGATGCTTTTAGGGAGGCTATGGATAATTGTGCTCTCAAAGATTTGGGCTTCAAGGGCAGTGTGTTTACATGAGAAAGGGGGAATACTATTGATACATATGTTAGGGAAAGATTAGACATATTTGATGCTGATGAGGCTTGGTGCAATCTTTTCCCGGATTTCGAACCGCATAATATGCCTATTTTTAAATCCAACTCTGACCATGCTCAAATTTTATTGTCCACCGAGAAGAGAAGGGATATACACAGTGGGGGATCGGCTTTCGAGTTCGAATCGTTATGGCTTTCCCGCGAAGAATGTGGGGCGGTGGTGGCTAAAGGGTGGGGTGACACTCCTGGTCTTGGCATGGCGAGAAGGGTGGCGGTCTGTGGTGAGAACTTGGCATCATGGACAGCCATTACTTTCGGCTGTGAAAAAATGAATTAAGGAGGGGGCGGAAAAAATGCGTGAGCTGAAAGGTAGCGTGATGGATGCGACGAAGTTGGAGGAGTGTAATTCTTATCCGTGGATCTTGAAGCATTATATAGATTGGAGGAGTCGTACAGGTATGTGAGAGCAAGGGCAAATGAGCTTCGGGATGGGGATAAAAACACAAAATATTTTCATCACAAGGCGAGTCAGAGGAAAGCTCATAATAGAATAAAGGGCCTTTTTGATGAAAACGGAGAATGGTTTGAGCAACGGGTTGACTAAGAGAGGTTTGATTTCTGCTTACTTCTCAAATCTTTTTGCTACTAGTTCTTCGACCGGTTCCAGGATGCTACGGAGGGGATAGAAAGGGTTGTCTCCGATGATATGAACACAATGCACTGTGAGCCGATCGCAGAGGAGATCAAACTGCTCTTTTCCAGATGCACCCTAACAAAGCACTCGGACGGTATGCATGCACTTTTTTTCCAAAACATTTGGCATATTGGCTGATATCATAGCTTTCGTGAAGGGATGGGGGAAGGGGGATGTGAATTTATAGGAAGTCAATAATACTAGCATTGTTCTTATTCCGAAGTGTGATCCAACTCAACTTTCGGAATTTATGCCTATTAGTTGTTGTAATGTGATTTATAAAATTGTTTCGAAAACGGTGGCTAATAAATTGAAGGGTATTTTGGATAAGGTGATTTCCCTTAATCAGAGTGCCTTTCTTTATTCTCGTGGGTCGTCTAATATCAGACAATGCTCTTGTTGCTTTCGAAATTTTTCATGGTATGAAGCGAGGTCGGGAGGGTAAGGATGGTAGCATTGCATTGAAGCTAGATATGTGTAAGGCCTATGATAGGGTGGAGTGGGTCTTTTTGAAGAAGGTTATGTATAGAATGGGATTTCCATTGGCGTGGATCGGTAGAATTATGAGTTGCTTGCAAAGTGTTCAGTTTGCTTTTAAAATAAATGGGCAGACATTTCAAGGTCAGCCACTCCTACTAGGGATCTGATTTCCCCATATTTATTTTTATCATGTGCTGACGCTTTTTTCGTGTTTGATCAACAAGGCGGCTAGGGAAGGGCTTATTCATGGTGCCAGGATTTGTAGAGGTGCTCCCCGGATTTCACATTTATTCTTTGCAGACGATAGTATTATTTTTGGTAGAGCCTGTGATAGCTAATATTATTAGCAAGTATGAGAGAGCTTTGGCCAGAAAATTATTGTAAACAAAACTGAAGTTGCTTTTAGTAAAAAAGTTTGCATCAATCGTCGGAAAGAAATTGTGGACACATTGGAGGTTCGGGAAATGGACAAACATGAGAAATATCTTGGTTTGCCGACGATAATTGGTAGATTGAAGAGAGCTATTTTTGCAGGCCTTAAGGAACGTCTCCAGAAAAAATTACAGGGTAGGAGAAGTTATTGTCAATGCCCGGTAAAGAAGTCTTGATAAAAGCGGTAGCTCAGGAAATCCCGATGTATATGATGAGCATTTTGAAGATACCCGAAGAAATCATTGATGAAATTCACTCTAATCTTGCTTGCTTTTGGTGGGGGTCTACAGCATCGAAGAAAAAGTTGCAGTCGAAAAAATGGGAGGACTTATGCAAACCGAAAAACCTTAGTGGTATGGGTTTCCACGATCTCCGATGTTTCAACCAAGCCTTATTGGCGAAACAATGTTGGCGTCTCCACCATAATCAAGGTACTCTCCTACATTCTATTTTGAAAATAAAATACTTTACAAATTGTGACGTGTTGGAGGCTTGTTAGGGTTTCTATCCTAGTTATACTTGGAGGAGTATGTGGGGTGCCATGATGGATTGAAATGGAGGGTCAAGAATGGATGTGACATTTCGGTTTGGGACTCTGCGTGGCTGCGTGGAAACTCTTCCGTATGTGTGTCGACTCCTTTGAACCATAGCAATAGGGGTTGCAGGGAGGCAATGGTATGGCGTGAGGATGTGATTCATGATAATTTTAACGCCGTAGACAAAGCGTTAATTTTATCGATCCCTTTATCCTATTGGACTATGAAAGATGTGATGTATTGGTGACCGTCAAAGAAGGTGAGTACTCGGTGCGTTCGGGGTAGTGGCTGGGTAAGCAGGGGCCTGCAAGGGTGCAAACCCAACCTCATGATGATTGTGGAAGCTAATATGGGGATTAAAGGTACCTCTGAAATAGGCACATTTTCTATGGAGGGCGTGTAAAGGTTTCCTTGCAGTTCGGGAAAGGCTACATTATCGTCATATGGTTGAAAATAAGTCTTGTTCAATTTATGGGAATGGGGATGAATCAGTGATCCATGCCATTTTTGAGTGTAGTGCAGCCAGCAGCATTTGGAACGCTAGTAAATTTCCCCCTCTGATTTCTCAAGCTCCTCTTCGTGCTTCAGTGAAAGGCTGTTGTGGGTGGTTTCGAAGGTCAACAGCAAGGAGTTGAGAGAGATGGTTACACTTGCTTGGGCTGCTTGGTGGTGCCGCAACATGATTATATTTGATAATGCAAGTGTCTGCTCGGTCAGTGTTGCGTCCAACCTTTTAAAATATGTCGTTGAGTATGGAGAATATGCGAAGAAGGTGTTCTTGGGGCAGGGTGTACCGAATCAGCCATCAGCTACCTCTTGGGCTAGGCCTTACACAGTTACACGGGGATGGTGAAAATAAATTGTGATGCTCACATAGGGGTTGCGACAGGTTTGGGGTGGTGATTAGAGATGAGGCAGGGAAAATTTTGGTAGCTGCTATTCATAAGGGGTGTGCTGGATGGGCCCCTGACGTTGCTGAAGCTGCGGCATGCCAGTATAGGCTTCAATTGGCTGCTAGATTGGGATATGCCTCGGTCATCTTGGAGAGTGATGCCTCAAAGGTCGTAAATGGGGTCAAGAAGAAGGCTGGCAATTTTACTCCTTTCTCATTAATTGTTGATAATATTTGTCCTTTCTCAATGTCTTTCTCGATTTCTCATGTAAAGCGTGCGGGTAATACTCTAGCTCACAATGTGGCTAGGTGGGACTCTAGAGGTTGTAATGAACTTGTTTGCCTAGATCCTTTTCCTTTGGCGGAAATTGATCTTTATTAATATTTTTATCCGCAGCTGTTTTCAAAAAAAAAAAAGATTATGGCACTGAGAAATAATACTATATATCCTGGATTTTTTAGCTTTGCAAATTAATTCTGTTATTCTCGGGAATAGTAAGAAAAGGAAGGACCTTTAAAGGACCAACTTGCTAAGTTATTCTTTATGTTTTGCATATAGAACATTTAGACATAAGAGTACAGAGGGCTAGGATATGTATAAATAGTCCACCCTTACTGCCCTTTGGTGCTATCCTATAGGGATGTTACCCAATATCAGCATGACTGACTTGATATATGTCTTTACAATGCTCTTCTCAGTAGTATTTATCCTCCATTGTCATACCTTTTTTTAGCAGATTTTTTCTTATCTAAAACAAAGAATAAAGAGAAAAGGTAAAAGCCAACCTGTTCTGGTTCAGAATACAAGACAAAACCAAGAGCCAAAACTGCAGTTCGCCTAACATCGTCACTCACATCCGAAACTGCAAAGTGTAGCAGCTGCCGGATGGCCTTGTTATTTGATGTTCCACTGTAAGCCAAAGCCAATGCATACATACCACCATAACGTAGTATAGGATCTTGGTCCCGAGTCATTTGCTCAATAAGTGTGTCAGCTTCCTCCTCTCTTCCATAAACTGTAAGAGCTATACCTAACGCCAGTCCCCTGGATATGCCACGTAATCATATGAGAAAAAAGGGATGGATCACCAAATAATACAACAGATAATACATCTAGCTTTACCTAATTATCTTCTCATGCTGGGTTTCATGTGCATAAGCAAGCATTTCCCCGGCCTTTTCACTAGCTGTACCAACCATAAGCAATCCCATGCTGATGCCGGCAGCTTCACCAGCAACAGCGCTATCTGTATAAAGCACATTTTTTATGTCTTCAAATATATCTTCATCTGCTGTTCCAAGAGCTGCTAATCCTAACCCTAAGCAGGCACCATGTTGTATGACCTGTAATGACAAGATTTAAACACAAATGTAGTGTATTTAATCAAACTATACTAAGCGGAAAGACAATTACACTTTCATCGAACAAAACACCACACCTCAACATTAGTACTGCGTAGGCTATCACGAAGGAATTGTTTGATACCCTCCCCATGGTTAGCATGGATCAAACCAAGAGCATACAGTGCTCCACCTTCAGAGTATGGACTGCCACCACCTCCAGCCCCACCCTGTGGCAAGTAAGGCGCCATTAGTGACCGGCCCTGTTGCAAGTGGCCTCTGTGAATAACACCCAATCCAGCAGTTGCACTGAACTTGGCCCAGTTAGTGGCCCTGCTTAGCCAGTCCTAACAAATAAAGTCAAAAACAGTTATGAGTACAACACTTTCCCATTTTTGCTCCTAATTGCCATTGCCTACTGGGTAAAGATGAAAATATTACCAAATTCTCCCTTAGAAAGGTATCCACTGTAGTACCAGCATGCATAATTGCATTCGCATATATGGTTGCACTGTGACAAACACTATTTCTCATCTCAACAGACTGCTTTATAGTCTTGAGAATCAGGAGGTCTGACCTAAATCCCAAAAAAAAAGAAAAAAAAGAGAGATTTAAAGCAGAACTTGAGTAAGAAAATACATAAATTTGTTGAACAGTATAGAAAATGCAATGTCGCACTTGTTGTGACTATATAGAAACTGCAGAGTCAGCTGGATGGAAGTCTCTCCAGACAATATCCCTCTAATTTTGGTCAATCTTTCAGCATATCTAGCTTCAGTAGGATCCATTTCACCAACAACTGTTTCTGAGACGCGAGTCCCTACATCCATTTGCACATCCTCAGAAGCAGTTGTATTTTCAGTCTGAGAGGGCTCTGGTTCCCTGGATATGGGCACCTCTGGAGAAGAAAATTTTGGCCTTGAAAGACGATCCCTCACGTTTAACAGAAAAGCCTGATGCTCATTTTCAACAAGATCAAAAGCTATTTGAAATGAAAGCAAAGTATCTTCCAAATTCTCTGCACGGAGAAGCTTTTCCAGAATGCCGGCAACAACTTCTGGTTGATCCAAAAACATAAGACACTGACAGATGCTCAAATAATCTGGCGATGGCAACTTCTGATACACTCTAACAAGCAGACGAAGCACCTGAAAAGGCAAAACAAGTTAACATATAAAAGTATAAGAAAAATGTGGTCCCCCCCCCCAAGGCCCCAACACACACACACACTCTTTTTTCCCCCAACATGCGGTATTTCCTGATATCAATCAGCAAGCAATATTTTCTAGTGTCTGGAAGAGGATGCTAATCGTGAAATTTAACAAAGACAAAATAGGTATCCAATCGTATGCCAACCGTGAAAAACTTATTAAAGATGCAGGATGTCACAAAACCTAAGGAAATAAGATACCAATCAACAACATGGTACACCACTGCAGATATTTAGATTCTATTTAAAAAAAACAACCCATCTCATAGCAAAGGAAGATATATCTAAAGAATATAATTCCACAACTAACATTGTAACTCTGTTGTAAATGCAAAACCATGCAGGCTCAGATTTCATAATATAATAGTAAAAGGAAAAAATGCATAATATATCTAATAATCATGAAGCATGAGAATTCTAATTAGAAATACTGTGGTTCATTACTACCCTGTGTCTCCGTCCATTGAAAAATCTTCCAATTAGGCTTTGGCATGCATATTAAGGAATTTAGTAGGGTGGGGTGAGAGTGTGAGAGGAAGAGAGTTATTGGAGGGTCCACTTCACATGGGTTGAATAGGAAAATTTTCTATTATAAGTAACAAGATTATACGAGGACAAAGAGAGTATTTTTTAGATTCTAACTCAAGTTATCATAAATACATTTAATAATACAATCAATGAATGCTTTTAATAGTCCTACTTATATTCTAACTAGGGTGGCTAACGCGTGCGATGCACGCCATACGTAACTAATATTCGGGAAGCTCTTTCGGTTTGTTCTTACGTCACAACTTTAGTTGTTAGTAGCATTAATAAGAAAAATTATGTAAACAATTTTTAGGGATATAAATGTCCGCACATTATTCTTAAGAGTTAAAAAAAAGCTAATTAACATTAATGGGAGTAATTAAGTAAATAAACATTTAAAGGTTATAATTGTCCAAACACTATTCATAAGAGTTATCTTACTTAAAAGGTAGGGATATCGGTTTGCCTAATGTATGCCCATTGACACATGTCAAGTTACAAAAAATATTCTCTCCGTTTCATAATGTTAGTCCCGTTTTAACTTTGCACGATATTTAAGATGCTCCTTTAACCATCATTATCTTTAATTATATATCAACAAATATTATAAAAATTTGATATTATGAGAAGACACATTGAGACGAATCTAATGATATATCACATGACTATTTTTTATATATATTAATGTGAATTTTTGGTCAAAGCTTTACAAGTTTGAATATAAAATTCAATATGGAACTATCAAATTGTACGGAGGGAGTAAATAATTTCTGCAACTTTTAAAGAAAAACTCTGTTTTTTTAAAAAAAAAAAAAATAAATAAATAAGGGACCCAATACACATTGAAAGGAATCTAACAAGATCTCACATGCCTATGTTTTTCTTATCTATAAATCACAAAAGGTAGTCAAAGTAGAGTTTGTGAATAGTGTCAAAAGTCGAAACGTGTCAGCTACTAATATTTGGTTTTTAACGAGTACGAATAATTCTCTCTATGCAATTATTTTTAGCACTACACAAACCTGTTAAATAACAATAAGACCGATATGCTAGAACAAGAAACAGGCTTGCCACATTAGTTATGCATGCAATTGTAACAACTCTGCTTTTTATGTGGATCTTAAAGCAGGGAAACGACAGATTTCTTCATCCCCTGGAATAAAAAATTAATAATGTACAATTATCTATATTCTACAAGAAACATTTATACTAAAGAAAATCAGCGTTCACTTCCCCACCCTAGCTCACCCCCAAAAAGGACAGGGGCAGTGGTGAACAAGAATGTGTTTATATGTGGCAGTTGTAATAGACTGATTTTCAGATTTGTATATTATATGGATTATAAGATGAAAACTTGGAATTTTGGTTAATAATGGCAGAATTTGATAAAAAGTGATAGATTAATAGCTTTAGGCTATTACTCTCTTTGATAACTTCAGGTTATCACTCTCCTAAGTAACTTGAGGTTACCATTCTCTCAACATATTTCCTCACAATTCACATCTCCCCTACTGCATAAACTATCCCCTATTTTATACCAAGGCCAAGGACTACTAACCTAAAAGTACTAGATATCCCAAAATGCCCTTCCTAATGTTAGTCTATTACATTACCGGCCTCCTAAACTTCCACCTTGTTTTCAAGGTGGATAATCAGCACTCGATTCTCGGCGGCGAAAGCAATGATCTCTCAAAGTTTTTGAAGGAGGAGAATGACTTTTGAGAGTGGAAAGAACAGCTCCACTATATTTGGTGCGCTGGCCATCTGTTTTGTTTGAAGCACGTACTCCTGGCTGAATGCCTTTGCAATATCTTCAAGGTGTATTACAATAATACCCTTACTAGCACTTTTCAGAATTGGCTTCCTCCACAAGCCAAAGACTTCAGTCAAACTTCTGCCAGAATCTTCTCTTTCTACAAACTTCATGAAACCACTAAGCAACCGCCGCTCCTGAAGATCTCCACTGTCAGTTCCAACACCAACAAGAGACCTCGAACCACCAACAGTTTTCTCACCGGCCAAAAAGGGTGAACTGGTACTTTGACTTGAATATCCTCCGGGTCCACCACCAGACCCACTTGCTCCTGATCCGCCCTTCACAAAGCCTTCGCCTTCTCTGTTCAGGCCACCACTAGCGGTGGTTGAACCATCACTCTCAACTTTTCCGGCTAAAACTCCTGGACCACCACCGGAACCACTGCAATCAGCACCGCCCTTCTCGAACATTCCTCCGAACCAACCGCCACAAAAATTGCCATCCTTGCTCCCTCGTACAGTACCAAGAACATCCCCAATTTCACGAGGTCCACCACCAAACTCGCCACCTGAGCCGCAGCCACCAACACACTCGAATAGTCTGGTTGATTTCCCTGCGGCACTACCAGGACTACTTCCCAGTCCATAATCCCTAAATTTGTTGCGAACACCCCCTTCAACCCCTTCAGGTCCACCATCAAAACCACCTCCACCGGTATAACCACCAGCGAAATCTCCCTGCCTTTCACCTTGACCTCCACCCGTAAACCCACCTTTGAAATCTCCCTCAAAACCCAGTACCTCAAGGTCTTGATGCTTCTCGCACCCATCCCATTAGCTTTTCCGGCGACCCTTCCTGGCCCACCAGAGAGACCACCGGATGAACCGCCATAACTTAGAGAAAAACCCCAATGCTCTACTTGAAGGTCTTTTTCCTCCATCTTCTCAGATACTTCCCTGAGATTTCTCATTCCTTTCCTTCAAATTTGGCAGCCACAACCCAGAATGTCGAATCAGCCAGTTCTTCAATTCTTGCCAGTCACGAAATGGTTGCCATCGGAGTTCACATTCGAACCACTGCAGCGCTTTGCCATCAAGACCTATTATGGCAGCCTTAAGTTTCACCTCTACACTTAAGTGAAAAAAAATGAAAGAAATCTTCCATTTGAAAGATCCAATCATCCAAGTTTCTTCCATTGAACTCATGAATTTGAAGCTCTAGACGAATGTTTTGCTCTTCCTCAGAATCTGAAATTCCATGTTCTCTCTTGTTGGAAATGAATGCATACTCTTCACAGATCCCTTTTTGCATCTGTTATGCTACACTTCTTTCGACAGACTCAAAGACCATTGCTGATTTTTTAATTTATTTATTTTTTTAATAAAAACGGAAATCAGCAGACTTCCCAGAACAGAACTGCTCTGATACCAATTTGTAAACTGATTTTCAGATCTGTATATTATATGGATTATAAGATGAAAGCTTGGAATTTTGGTTAATAATGGCAGAATTTGATAAAAAGTGATAGATTAATAGCTTTAGGCTATTACTCTCTTTGATAACTTTAGGTTATCACTCTCCTAAGTAACTTAAGGTTACCATTCTCTCAACATATTTCCTCACAATTCACATCTCCCCTACTGCATATACTATCCCCTATTTATACTCAGGCCAAGGACTACTAACCTAAAAGTACTAGATTTCCCAAAATGCCCTTCCTAATGTTAGTCTATTACAGCAGTGTAGCACTGTATTACAGAAAAACACATGCACATTCAAACTTTGTCAAATCAATCATATAAAATTATAAAACTATAGGTCTTACTAATACTTTTAAAAGAAGAAAAATTGTGATTAAAAAGAAAAGCACTCTGCAACATGTCATTCACCTAAAGCTATTTACCAATGTCACGATTATGACCCATGGCAACAATTCTAATTATTTATAATCCAGACAACCTAAGATTAAACAGCCCTTTACAGATGGAAATCACAACAGTTTGCAGCTATAACACCTTTCCTAATTTCTTCACAAGAGGCAGGGGCGCCATGATTCTGTAAAACTAGTTGTTTCTCTATTCTTCTCAATAGCCAGAATTCCAAACCATTAAACAGGCAGGCAAGGTGCAACAGACTATGGAGCAAGAAAGATGTATTAACTGGCCTCATTATGACAATCCTAATCACCATTCCATGCAGAGCATATAATGAAAACCAATAACAAGTTAATAAAGCACAATCTAATATGCTAAAGTCCAAGTTTTGTATGACAAGCATGAAAAATTTCTCACCTCCTGCCGATATTCTCTACGACTAACATAGGAATGGGAAACATTAATGCAGTATGACAGACTTCCAGGAGCATTATCACTCCTCATTATTGCCTCCTCAAGTTTATCTAATCTTCGGCACTCAATTGCCATTCCCATAGCTTGCTGATACCTTCCATCTAAAATGCACCTAATATAAAAATGTGCATTCAATAAGAAACAGCATACTCTAGAGGCATAGAGTATAATATGCACGAAAAGGAAAATTCATACTTCTCCAACATTCTCTCCACAATTGCCTCTAGCCTGGGGTCAATGTTGACAGCTTCTTCCTTTGACTCTGCTGCTTTATTTCTAAGACTAGCATACTCATCAATGGCTTTGTCTAAAAGAATGAAAAAAAAAAAAAAAAATAGCTTTAATCAAGGGCTAGTCAAGTTCCGGCAATATCCAACAACATTTTATGATTTACTGAAGATAGCAATTAGTCACCAAGAATCATTACTACATATAAGAGAAGCATAATTACCGAGAAGGGTCCTAACATAATCAGAATCCTCAGAAACATCAAATAATGGCCCAGCTCCCAGTGCATATGCCAAAGAATCATTCAGTTCACCCAAAAAATAGAAAACCTGCAAAGAGAGCAAACATTAGCACATTATCACAAGAGAATCAGAAAAAATATTAAATGTGGGTAACTTTGGAAAATAAATAAGGAAATTAACAAGAGTGAGTAGTACAAGCATAAATAATTGAGATTCAGGCCTGAACATCACTGGGTTTTTTCCATACAAAAAAGTTTTTTTTAAAAAAACAGTACTTGTTAAAATCTAAATTTCACCAGAACACATAACCAGAAAATAGACAGCATAAACATATCATTGTGTTTCTACCAATTGAAGGATTGAATGAAATAGACATACAATTGCGTTTCTACCAATTGGGGGATTGAATGAAATAGAGAAGCATACATGGATCTATACCCTACTAACAAAGAGAATTCTTCATCAGAACATGCATAATAAACTATGTTAAGATTGAAGATTTACCTTAGAGACAACTAATCCAGCCAGAGGTCGCTGAGAGAATTCTTCATCTTCATACAAACTTTCTCTGAAATAATAATAAAAAATTACAATTTCAAGTGATACAATGGGAACCCTAGAATATTTAAGCAAAGAATGAACCCTAATAAACAAGGAATTAAAATGGAAGAAAAAAAGGAGTAAGAGAAATACATGAGAGGAATGCTAGTGGAGATCTCTGGCCATAAGAATTGGGCGTAAACGTTGAGATTGGAGAGAGCATGAAGCTTCAGAGCAATTGAATTCTCGCTCAGCATAGCCAGCATTGCTCCTGCCGAACTCACCAAGGTCGCCATTGAAATTCAATTCAAAGATCTTTCAGAAACCCTAACCCCCAAATTCACCAAACAAACAGCAGAAAATCAAGAAACCAACTATACTCTACAAGCCGACTGTATTCTAAACTTCACCTCAACTTTTGTATCTTAAACATTTACTAGTATCGTTGCTTTTCCAACAAGCCAAAGCCCATTTTTTTTACAAAAATACACTACATCCAAGTATCAAAAGGTTATCAAAGTGAATTTTGATGCCCATTTGGCTAGCAGCTATGTGAGTCTTGGTGCTGCGCGTGATCAGCAGGGGAGGCTCTTGTGGGCTGCCGTTCGAAGGATGGGTGGCTCGTGGGAGGTAGAGAAGATGCTGAGGCTGCTGCTGCGAGGTTTAGACTACAAGTGCGCGAGAAGGTTGGGTGTTGATAGAGTGTGGCTGCAAGGTGATGCGGCATCGGTTATCAAGCTAATCAGTGCCAAGGCTCATGGCTCCTCTCAGAGTCAGAAGTGGCTTGTGTACGATGATATCAGGAATTTATCGAATTGGTTCGATGTCTTTATTGTTTTTCATGTGAAAAGAAATCTAAGCTTAATTATCAAATAATATTCCATATTAGGACGCGTGGCAAAATTATTTACCAAATTAAACTTAAGGGTATCAGGGTAGCGTTTTACCCCTGGCAAAATTTTTTTAAAAACATTTCAGTTAGGGGTACGACGGTACCCTGGATGGCGTTTTACCCCTAAAGGAAATGTAAAAAAAAAATTCCAAAGGGTAAAACGCCAACGTGGAGAGCGTTTTTGTCTTTTTCAAAAAACTCCAACCACGCTGGAGGTTTTGCATAGGGGTAAAACGCCAACCACGCAGTTTTTGCATCGGGTAAAAACTGCTACTTCGCTTCAATTTATTTCATTGTTCTTCAGTCAGAGGTAAAACGCCATCCAGGCTAGCGATTTACCCCTAACTGATATGTTTAAAAAAAAATTGTCAAAGGGTAAAACGCTACCCTGGATGGCGTTTTACCCTCAAGCACAGTTTGGTAAATAGTTTTGTCACGCGTCTAATATGGAGTATAGTTTCTTAATGAAGCTTCCTTTGGTAATTTTTCCGTGAAAAGGCCCAAAAGGGTATGTAATACGATAGCTTATCTAAGAGCTAGGTGTTATACTCGTAATAGCACGGAACTTGTTTGTATTAGACTATTAACTCTTTCCCCCAAAGTATCGTAACTTTGGCGAAATTCGATTTATAATACTACGTAAATACGTAATAAAGCCTATCTAATCTTCCTTTAAATATGTTACATAATAAAAAAATTTGAATTCGAACACCTCAAAAAATGACAAATGTTTTATAACATCACAAAATATATGACTTGAATTAATATATTTTTGGCTTGTTTTAGAAAAAATTAACATCACAATAAATAAAAGTTTATTTTAACACTATAAAATAACCAAAAAAAAAAAAAGGATTTCACCACCAGATTTTATGCAAGAATCCGTTTTTAGGGACCAACATGTTCACGTGTCAGCAAGCTATTGGTCCAAAAAAGAAGGAAAAAAAAAACGAGGAATTACATTATTTTGTTGCTGATTTTGAGTTTAATTTGGATCCATATATTACCAAAATAACCCTCAAAACCTTGTTTGAGTAAACTTCCACAGTTAAAAAATTAAAGACACGTAAATTGAAACATTTATTGCAAAATGCAAAACGAAACATTTACGTTATTTTTGTAACCATTTATGAACTTAATTTGGTCTCATAAAGAACCAAAATGACCCCCAAAACCTCACCTGAGTAATTTCATGTTTAAAAAAATAACACGCAAATCGTGACATTTCTTAACCAAAAGCGAGACATTTGTTTTTTTCTTTTTTTTTTCCTAATTTTAAGCTTAATTTAGACTCATAAAGTGTCAAAATTGACCCCCCACAAACATTACATGACCCACAAAACCTTATATGAGCAATTTTCACGTTTTAAAAAAACAAAGACATGTAAATCACGACATTTATTGATGCGCAAAACAAGACATTTTACGCTATTTTTTTTACCATTTTTGAGCTTATTTTTTTGTTCATAAAAAAAACACCAAAACCTTACCCAAAAAAATTTCACGGCAAAAAAATGACACGCAAATTGATATTTTTCTTAACACACAAAATGAGGCATTTAAGAGAAAGTGGAAGGGAAATGGAAGGGAGGGAAAAAGAAGGAAGGGAAGGGAGGGAAAAAGAAGGAAGGGGGAAGAGAATGTTAGGTTACAATTTTCATCCATATCTTTTCAAGGAAGGATTGGGTTTAATAAAGAGAGAGAGAAAATAAATCCTTCCATTTCTCTTCATTTCCCTCCTATCAAAAGGTATCCAAAGAAGGGAGGATGAAAGAGAAAATAAATCCTTCCATTTCCCTTCATTTCCCTTCATTCCCTTCTTTAATATTCTTTTCCTTTCCCTTCAATTCTCTCAATTCAAACAAAGTGTAAGTGACTGTGACTTGGTGAGATCCATTTTTTGTTTTTTTTTAGTGTTAAAATAAAAGTTCTATTTTTTCTTTTTTGGAAGATGACTATGTGGAGTGATGTTTCTAGCCCTCCCAATGACCCAATCCCCCTGCTAATTTTGCTTGTGGTTGCAGGTCTCAAATTGGAATGAAGAGAAATCATGTGAGAATTTTCATAGTAAAGGTTGCGACTTTTTGACCAAGACATGCAAGAGAAGCATGCTTTTTTTCTTTATAAAAAGTAAAATAAATATGATAGAGATTGAAGCTTGATTGTAAACAAATACAATATACAATAGTCTTCTTCATTCTTATTCAGACTACACATTGAGGAGGTCAACACTATATATATTGGACAAAAACTATCAAATTAAAGAGGCAATTTTCATCAAAATCCCCGATGCAGGGCAAATTAAATCTTCCAACGATTACTGTGTTTTCTTTGAGACACTGAAAGAGAAAATAAAGCTAAAACCAACTGGTGTCCTGAAAATTTCACATTACAACAGCAATGTCCCAGCTATGCATGCCCCTATTCTCACTAGCAACTCCTTGCATGTAAGCAACTCCTCCTCACGGGCATCACAAGCTCATAGTATTATTTTTATGCAATTACGCCAGAAACTGCTCATCTTTACAGGAAATTAAACATACACCTCCAGACACAGGCCTGCTGAAAATCACATCAGTTGATTATATTTAACCACCATGACTGAGAATAATAGTCATTAAGCAATAAGTGCAAAATACGGTACCTTTAACATCCTCAAGCATGGTAAATATACAATTAATAGCCATCTTCAGTCAAGTTTCACATTAGAATACAGGAGTGTGTCTCTTGTAAGTGGCATATTGACGAGAAGATACACCTGATTGAAGGTATAAACAATATGAATCTCAAGAGAATAAGAATAACAACAAACTCAGAAGAGTCCCCATATCTCATCCTCAAATTTTCTGTATATCTCTACATTACTTTAATCACCCCAAAATAACAGACCATATATGACTTTGTGGCCATACCAGCTTTGATCATTATTATTGATACACAGTTATCCTAATATAAGAGTAAAACATACAATCTATAGAATTATATATTTAGTTGAATCTAACACCAGACTTTTGACCCTGAAAGTCAAATGTGCCATCAGCTTTGCTATTAAACTAGCATGGATAAAAATTTATTGTATCAACATAATTGTAGTCTCACCCCAATTAAGGTTGCAATGAGTAGAACAACTCCAGTGATCCATGCAAGCGAAAGTCTAACCAGTGCGACTTCTTCTGCAGCAGCAGTTATATTGGACGAAGTTTTCACTTCCTCCAGCAGTCGTAGGGAAGGTCTTGAACCATACGTAACATCGACCATCTTTTGTGGAAGAGAAGACTGTGTCTTGCTGAAAAGGATGATCGCAACAATTTCACCTGCTCATAGCCACGTTTACACAACAGTAAAACATAAGGCCAGGATAAACTTGAAATCTTGAATTTCCTAGTCAGACAGCTGTTGAAGGTTTCCACTTACAAGTTACAACCGAGCTTTTGGAAGCAGGGTGATGTGAATCGAGTCCCCTTTATTATAACTATTTTTATTGCTTTATTTAGGTACTCTCTTGGTTTTACCTTACTCTTAAAGTAGGGGTTTTACAAGTGAGTTTTTAATAATGTTTTTATTATTTTCTTAGTAGTACTTATGGGGCCTTGGGCTTCCAAAGTTGTGTTAATTAATTAGTGGGCTCTCTTGGTTCATTAATTAATTATTAGGGCTTTTTATTTAGTTTGCTTGCAGGGCAAGTAGGATAGATTTATTTTTCCTATATATACTAGTTGTATGTCAATTATTTTAGGAGGACGTTTATGAAATAAAAATCAGATTGTTGAGTTTTAACTCAAAGAGAACTTTGTTAAGGTTCAAACTAGTTGTTAACTAGGGTTTTAGGATCGTTGCTCCTAAGATCAAACTTAGAAGTCGTTGCCTTCTAAGCCTATCCTTCACATTTCCACCATTAAAAATCACTCAAATCCTTCCACTAAATATAGACTGTCAAAAATACGCATCAAATTGGTATCAAGAGCTTAGGTTTGTGAGCCCTCACGACTTACACGATCTTGGTAATTAGAACAATTTTTGGTTGCTTTTCAAGTATTACGGGTGATTTGCAATTAGATTACGGTAGTGTACTTTGTCTTCGAATCTGGAAGTAAGCATTACGTAGTACTAGAGGTACGTAATTCTAGAGTTTTAGTTGGTGAATTTGTCTCTTAGTGCATATTAATTTCTTGATTTACTTGCTGCAAATCATCAAGTTGGTGGAGATAGTGCAACTAATACTTTTGTGCATTCATATTTCGGTACACGGATACACACAAATAAATTTTAGGTATTGATGAATTATTTAAAAAAAAAAAAAAAAAAAAAGAATCCCCTGCTAATACAAAATTAGAGTGTTGCGCGAGAGTTGTTATTCCTTGTCCAAATTATTATAAAGGTTTTGTTAGACTAATTTGAGGTTTTTGTCTTAAAATACGGAGGAATAATTTGCTGAAAATTATTTCGACATCATGAGTACTTTAACAAAGGAAGATCTTGATATTATGCTTGTTGATATGATGAGAAATTTTAATGCGAGTCTTGAACGAATGAATGAGAAAATTGAAAAGAGTACGCAAGAAATTGCTCAAACCAATCAAAGGGTTGAAACTTTGTCTACTCAAGTGGTAGGGGAAGGAAGAATAATCAACAATGAACAACCTAGGGGAATCATAAGAAATTTTCCAATGGACAATGATCGAGATTTGAAGTTGTTGGAACTTCCGGAATTTACAGGTGAAGGTGATGGGGATGCTGAAGACTTTTTAGATTGGGTTCGTCAGATGGAAAAGGTCTTTGACTACAAAGGTTTTGATGAGCAAAAAGCCTACAAGGTTGCAAACCTAAAACTGACGAGATATGCTTCTCTATGGTTTGAGAATTTACGTGCCAAGAGATTGAGAGAAGATGAGCCACGAATTA